GGGCCGGGTCACAGTCCCTCAAACTGTTGGAGGGCCGGATTATAATTTGAAAAAAAAAATGAATGAATTCCTATCCACACCACACATATCTTATTTGTAGTGCAAAAAACACTTTAAATAATACAATAATTAAAATGAAGAACTATTTAAACAAATATAAACTTAGCAGTTTAGAATAAATATAAACCTAGCAGTTTGAAAACATGCAAATGTGAGTAGATCAATAGATACTGCTCTGGTAGGAAGGTAACGGCGCTCCATGCAGTCATGCCGGACACACGACCTTGGAGGTGTCTTTGGGCAACACTGGCTCTTCGGCTTAGAAATGGAGATGAGCAGCAGAGTCTCAGAGTCGGACATGACTGGATTTAAGCCCCCCCTCCGCCTTCTCCTGCCTCCGGGATGCGGCGAGGCGGCATCCCGAAGGGAGGAGAGGCTGGGCCCACGGAGGCGGCGGGCCAAGCAGGCCCAAGCCGCTTGGCCCCTGCCTCCCCCCCCCTTCCTCCGGGATGCATCCAGAATGCATCCCGAAGGGAGGGGAGGCTGGGCCCACGGAGGCAGCGAGCCAAGCAGGCCCAAGCCGCTTGGCCCGCTTCCTCCCCCTCCCTTCCTCCCTGCTGCGGCGAGACGGCATCCCGAAGGGAGGGAGGCTGGGCCCACGGAGGCAGCGAGCCAAGCTGGCCCAAGCCGTTTGGCCCGCTTCCTCCCCCCTCCCCTTCCTCCGGGATGCATCCAGAATGCATCCCGAAGGGAGGGGAGGCTGGGCCCACGGAGGCAGCGAGCCAAGCTGGCCCAAGCCGTTTGGCCCGCTGCCTCCCCCCTCCCCTTCCTCCGGGATGCATCCAGAATGCATCCCGAAGGGAGGGGAGGCTGGGCCCACGGAGGTAGCGAGCCAAGCCGGCCCAAGTCGCTTGGCCCACCGCCATTCCCTCTTCGCCTGCCGCCTCGCTCCCCCTTCGCCCGCCTCTCACCCTTCTCCACAGCACGCGGGCCGGATAGATGCCCTCGGGGGCCCGGATCTGGCCCGCGGGCCGTAGTCTGTTGACCCCTGCTTTAATCCACAAAAGCTTAAGCATAATACTTTTTAAGTCTTATAGAAGATGTCTGCTTCAATAAAACTGAGGTGATAACTGACCAGATGTGTATCCTCTGTGAACAACCAGAGTAATATTATAGTGTAATGTATCAAACTGTTCAAATAAGACCTAACTATATGTACCGGTATGTGTGACAACCATTCTTGTAGTGAGACTGCACAAACAGAAATACTCAAACAGCCCATTATGGGTTTGCTCAGAAGTTATGCTCAGTATAGGGATGCATGTAATAGTTATGATTTGCTACCAGTTACTATGTTTATGTTTTCATTATAAAACCACATCTGAAAATCTGAATTCATCAATGTCTGCTTGGATATAAACCTCAAGAAGCCACTACCACATAAATCTAGAACATAAATCTAATTTATATCTTTTCTATGTCTCCTTGGTATGCCAATATTTGGCCATTTCAATGTCTACAGAAAATTTGATTATGTCAATGAATAGCTTGCGTATTACTAGGACAATCTTTTTTTTTTTACACTCAGCAATCAGGCAGATCAAACAGTCTGACAAAATTACACAGTTTTGCCCATATTAGTCACAACAGTGATGCACACTGAAGTTATATAATTACAGGCTAAAACAGGCACATCATTTGACTACAACACATTGCTTAGAGAATCTAATTGGGGTGTGGGAGGACATTCTCCTTTTCTGGTCATTTTCAACCCTGCAACTTCCATGTATGCCATTTCTCCCATACTGACATGAGGATTTTCTGATGCACTGCTTTGGCAAAAGATCTAAACAAACCTTGGGGAAGAAATTAATAAACTGTCTGTCAGGCTATTATTTTGCCAGTTCTATTTTTTTAAAAATACCATTAAAAAGAACACTGTGCTACAGTCCTATCCTCAGAAGTAAATGCTCCTGGAGGCCCCTGCAACTGGTTTTTGTACTATTATTCAGGTCTCTTAGGGCTAGGAAGTGGGGGAAGCTGTCAGGACTGGAGGATTGATACTTTCTCCTCTTGTGCTATTTACAGTGGTAAGATGGGCGACTTTTGGGAAGTCACATTCCCTCAGTATCAGGGGAAGACAAGGGCAACCTTTCATTGAACAAATTATACCAAGAAAACCTTATGATTAGTTCATTTTTAGGGTTGCCATAGGTTATAAATGATTTGAAGACACACCAAAGCAGTACCCCTTCCAGGTACAGTGGGGCTGTTGTGTCCGTAAGCTCAGAATCCACAGATTCATCAATTCAAGGCAGCAGCAGAAAGCCCTGGCTGCCAGGCACACATTCTTCTGACTGTCCTGATTCTGGGGAACACACCAGCAGCCCCTTTCCGCCTTGCGGCCAAAGAAACAGAAGCACCATAGCAATTGCCTCAAAAGGATAAGTAGACAACTCGTACACTCCCCGGTGGCAGGGGAGCCCAAAGAATGCGTGCCTGGAGAGCTTGCTACTCCACTGCTACTCTATTAATAGGGGCTCCAGCATCTGTGTGTTTTTTTTTTGGGGGGGGGGGTTGTTATCTGTGCAGGTCTTGGAACCAATCTCCCACAGATAATGAGGGAACCATTGCAATTTCACCCCTTCAGGAAATTTATTTAAACCTACCAAGGATGTAACCAGTTCTGTTTTTTTCCCCTTCTTTAATGTTCCAACTACCAAACCAAGTTTCTATATAATAATCACAGAACTAATTAAAAGACTAAAATTTCTGGCTTCCTTGGACTTTTCCTTCTTTGTATGCTCCATTGCTTCAATATTTTGCAAGTAGTTTCAGAGGTTTATTTGTTATTGTTTTTCTTATTGTTTTTAACCCCCTTTTTTGATTCATGATCTCTACATTCCTATGGACTTAGCTGTCTGCTATGTATATAGAATGTACTTGGGTGGTCTTGTTTCATGTATAATGTATAACCTGAGTTTGCTATCAGAGGAATGATTACTCCTGGGCAAGGAATTGTTTTAGTTCACATGTCTGAAGTATATTCCTTGCATTAAGGCAACAAACAATGGAGGAAGAAATCTGCATCCCTTCTACCCATTACATTTACTTAAGAGATCTCGATTTCAGGAGAATTTGTTGCTGTATGCCTTCATTTCCCACTTAGGCAGACCATGAAGGGAATTTATCATGGGGGTTTGTTGGCAAGATTTGCTTAGAAGAGGTTTGCCTTTGCCTTCTTCTAAGGCTGTGAGAGACTGATCTGCCCAAGGTCAGTCAGTGGGCTGAGTGAGATATGGTCTCCAGAGTTGTAGTTCTATGCTCAAACCACTGCACCATGCTGCAAAGGGTTATGGTGACCCTATAGAACTATTTCCTGCTGTTTAATAGCTATACACAACTCTGGTTTGAAATGGCAACCCTACAGTGGTAAATAGCACAAGAATTCAAGGAGGTGCCATAAACCGACAGGTGAATTAAGGTGCCTTGCTAAATGTTTCAAATATTTATATCCAGATACCTTGCCTCCAATACAAAGATAGATATCTATATATAGAAGAGAACTTTGTTTTACTTTCACCTCTGTCTGCAGTAGGTTCTATTGAGAAACAGATTGCTTATTGTGAGACTTAAATTTTCAAACGGTTATAATGAATAGACCCCAAACAGTGATTTCTGTTACATTTTACTGTTCCCACAATTTAAGTTCTCCAGCATGTGAAAAGAGTTTCAAAGAAAAGTATTGGCTCCTTGTAGAATCGTTCTCAACTCAGATAGCTAAACAAACTCAAGTGTCAACCAGGATGTGTGAAGAATCTACAACGGAAGTAACCCTGCTTACTTCAGCTTCCAGGGATTGTGCTTTATACTGTATATTTACAATCAAGAGCCCCATTTTAAAAACCCATTTTCTTTAAAAAAAACAACTTAATTTTTGAAAATATTATAAATACACTGCATGCAACACATAGAATACAATCATAAAAATTAGTAATTTTCCAAAGAGTAAGTTTCCAAAAGACACTTTTCAAAAAGACAATTAGAACAAACCATAGCAAGAATGAAGTGAACTTAAAAAGTATGGAAAACAACCCAACTGTCTCTAGTTTTTAACTTGTCTGTCATCCGCAAACACGTGTGCTCATTTCTCAACCCAAATTGCCACACCTTATGAATAAATGTACACATGAGGAAACCCAACATACCAAAGCCAGTTCCAAATACCTAAGATTGCAAACTGCATTATGAAATAAGCTATGCGATTGTTTAATTCCTTTTTATTTTTAGATTCTTATACATCAATTTTGACATCTTTAATCAGTTGAACTTAACCTTTTCTTGGCTACACTTAAACAGATTGAGAAGACGTTCTCAAGATCATTCATGATTATTTATTTATTTATATTCCACCTTTCTCCCCATGGGGATTTAGGATGGCTAACATCTATCCACACTAAATAGTTCAAAAAGAACAATATAAAAGCTTAAAAACAATTAAACAATAACAGTATAGTAAAAACATTATTAAAAAACAGCGAATACATTAAAATGGCCTTTAATACTAATATTCACCCCCCAATCCCACCCACCCTCCCCAGAGCCTCCCTTATTCTTCCACAAAAGCCTGTAGGCAGAGGAAGGTCTTGACTTGCTTGCAGAAGGCCAGTAGGGCTGAGGCCATTCTGGTTTCTCTTGGGAAGGAGTTCCACAGCCTGGGAGCAGTCACTGAAAAGGACCTCTCATCCCACCAAGTGTGCTTGAATGGGTGGTGGGCTGAGAGAAGGCCCTTCCCAGTAGATCATAGATGTTTCCCAGGTTAATAGAAAGAGATGCAGTCTTTCAGATAACCTGGACCGGAGCCATATAGGGCTTTCTAGGTCAAAATCAGCACTTTGAAATGTGCTCGGAAACATGTTGGCAGCTAGGAAATACTTCATAGGTTACATATTTTGGGAAGTTCTAGAAAAGTGATTTCACATTTTCACTTTTATACTTACTATTTAGTGGAATCTGACAACTGATATTCCCGTCGTCTGTCATAGCATTCTTGTATTCCTGGGTCATTCCATAAACTCTTGATTGCATCTACGTAAGGGTTCTCAAAGGAATTGACTTTTTCTATATCAACATCTCGAACTAAATGTGCATTACCCTACAAATAAAAAAATCCACAAATATCTAATTAGGTGCACATTCATCATCAGCACACACACAGAGAGATAGAAGCAGCATAAATATCTTCACTTTAAAATTAGCTGTGTGAGGATGTTAGCGGATGTCCTTCTAGAGATATACACTAATGCCTTTCTTCCATAATTTATAGACATCAATATGAAAACTGGCAAATTTCCTGAGGTTTAGAGGAAGAAAATATTTTAAGAAAAGCACAGTGGGAGGTGTGGCATCAGTCAGAAGAATGCTGGGACAAGAAAACCAAAAATTAAAGTGGAACCGAAAAAATAGAAGGGACTGGTGGTTGAGGGTCAGTAGAAATAGAGGCCATCTATACTGCAGAATTATAGCCGTTTGGCACCACTTTAACTGCTATGGATTCATCCTATGGAATCCTGGGATTTGTAGTTTGTTGTGGCATCAGAGCCCTCTGACAGAAGGGTAAAATCCCACAAAACTTAAAATCCCAGAATTCCATAGCATTGTGCCATAGTAGTTAATGTGGTGATGTCGAAGTGTTTTGATTCTGCAGTATGAATACAACCATAGAGAGATGAGTATCTATGACGTATGGGCACTTAGACTACATGAATGCTTAGCAACTGAAGCTACAGTGATAGAACCTATCAAGCTTCTTTTCAACATCCAATTCATTATTCGCTTAGCACTATACCAACATTTGAAGGTATAAGAAACTTATGAGAACATATCAAAAGGTGCAAATAAATACAAAGGCACCTAAAAATGACTTATGTTGAATAGACTTTCACACTGAGACCAAAATCAAGAGGGAACTGTATTAAATTCTAATAACTAGTATTGCTACAACTAAATTTCCTTAACTATAGGGATTTTAGCTCAGCTGCTTCAGAAAACAATAAGCTAGGCCCATTCACACAACGGAATTAATGTTCTCTCTCTCCCTACATCCACTTCCTAAAAGTGAGTGGGGAGATTGGAAATTACCTATATTTATAAAGAAGTATCTTCTGCTTGTGGCTACTATTGCAGCCACTGACATGCAAGTGTTGCCCCCCATTTCCTAAAGTAATTCTGAAAAATGTAATAGAAGATACATACCAAACTTATTCTTCGGAGTTTGGTGTTATTTTTTTGGGTGTGTTGCTGAATTACCAACACCACTTTTCCAAATAGGTTGCCTAAATCAAGCTAGTGTCTGCTAATGCCTGATCTGTAGCAAGAATGAGTGAATATCTGCCAGGGCCTCAGGGTTAATATGTCATCTTTAGGTGGACCACATTTTAAAATCCTTGTTTATGTTTTATCATATGAGCTGACTGGTTAAGTCCCCCCCCCCAATAAATGTGTGTCTTATTTGTCATGTTCAGAGTCTCATTTTTATACCAACACAAACACAGGAGGCCATCTGTTCATGCAGTTTCTCTATTACATTTTGCAATTTCTTTCCTCCTATAATCATTTTGCCTCGCACTTTTTTTGTTTCTGTGACCCTCAAGTCCTTTGCTCATAATTTTATGTACTAGATTGCCTTGAGTGCAAAATATCACTTAACTTGTTCAGGTATAAAGATTGTGTGGGTGTATATAACATATAGCCACTCTTTAAAATATTTATGAACAGGGCACAGGAAATGACTGGTTCCTTTTCTAGGTATCATTAGAAGCACTCAAATACAACTTTTTATATTAAGAGGCCACTCTGAAACTGCCAACATCAGCTATATGAACTATAATGTTCTTCAGTTGCTCATGCAGAAAATCATTTGAGTTTAGTACATTTAGTACAGCATTTCTCAACCTGGGGATCAGGACCCCTGAGGGGGTTGCAGTTGCTCATGCAGAAAATCATTTGAGTTTAGTACATTTAGTACAGCATTTCTCAACCTGGGGATCAGGACCCCTGAGGGGGTTGTGAAGGGGTGCCAGAGGTGTCGCCAAAGACCATCACAAAACACAGTATTTTCTGTTGGTCATGGGGGTCTCTGTGTGGGAAGTTTGGCCTAATTCTATCATTGGTGGGGTTCAGAATGCTCTTTGATTGTAGGTGAACTATAAATCCCAGCAGCTACAACTTCCAAATGTCAAGCTCTATTTTCTCCAAACTCCATCAATGTTGACATTTGGGCATATTGAGTATTTGTGCCAAGTTTGGTTCAGATCCATCATTGTTTGAGTTCACAGTGCTCTCTGGATGTAGGTGAACTACAACTCCAAAACTCAAGGTCAATGCCCACCAAACCCTTCCAGTATTTTCTGTTGGTCATGGGAGTTCTGTATGCCAAGTTTGGTTCAATTCTATCATTGGTGGAGTTCAGAATCCTTTTTGATTGTAGGTGAACTATAAATCCCAGCAACTACAACTCCCAAATGACAAAATCAAATCTCACAAAATCTCACCAGTATTCAAATTTGGATGCTTCGTGTATTTGTGCCAAATTTGGTCCAGGGAATGAAAATACATCCTACATATCAGATATTTACATTATGATGCACAACAGTAGCAAAATTACAGTTATGAGGTAGCAACAAAAATAATATTATGGTTGGGGGTCACCACAACTTGAGGAACTGGATTAAGGGGTTGTGGCATTCGGAAGGGTGAGAACCACTATGTTTTGTCATAGGGCTAGACTTAGATGTAGACTAGTGAGCAGTATGAATATACAGTCAGCTTAATTCAAATACCAAGTGAAACTTAATTTCATAATCTGGAAATCACCTTTCCTTGTTTGCTTAGCTATCAGAGAGCAAACCAAACAATCTCAAATTTTAATTTTTAGTTTCTGTTTGGAGTAACCACGGTAACAGCACAGTGGTTCAAGCGGAAGCAATTATCTTTTCTTTAAGCAAGCAAACTGTATTCCTGCAAAATCTTTTTGCTGTTAAAGTTAACATCATTCGGTTTACCAGTTCTCTAGAAAGCCAACTCACTATCCTCTAGAAACAAATGCAAGATCTATGTTTCATGGTTTAAATCTTTTTTAAAAAATTGTGGCTAGTTGAATAAAATCACTAACTTTGAAGCCACCTAGGCTCCATCATAATGCCACCCCCTAGCCTCCATTAATTCTCTATGGAACTGACTTTCCCAGCAACATCAGTTTCAGTTGTTGTCACAAGTCAAGGAATATAAATCGAGATTTGCCTGTATGATCATAGTGACTTCACTCATGGCAAAAATATTGGGGGTCAAGTAGAGCAATTTAAAAAAATCAGAAAACAAGGAGGAAGCATCTCAGCTCTTTTTCAGTACACATAAACACTTATAGTAAGACCTAGTTTTTATTATTGTAGCTGAAATATATAGCAGCCTGCGCAGCTGTGAAAAAAGGCAGACAAAACCTTGCAGTTAAAACAGAATAGACACAAATTCAGCAATAATGCTATAAAGAACAAAGAAAAGGCTGGGTTTTTAAAAATTCATAGGACAATGTCAGCCTCATGTTAGCACTGTGTGAGAAATAAGGTTGAACACCGTGAAAGCTATCCACTGCACGGTTATCAGCCTCCTCCCAGTAGACTCAAATGAAGGAAAAGTTTCATGAGAACCACCACTCCTCTTAATGATACCACCCCAGCAACAGCAAAAGTATCCCTCTGGGCAGCTAAACGAGGAAATCCCAACTGGAAGTCCTCCCACAGGGTCTTCCTCCAGGGGCAAACCAAGAATGGGCAACGTGAAGGTCTCTGAACAGACTCAGAAGTGGAGTTGGCAGATCAAATGACAACCTGGCTAAATGGCACTGCCTAAAAGAATCCTCCACCTTGTAAGACCATGGAGTAGATGAAACAACACAGCATCTGTATGCTTGCTCACAGTGCCCTGCCCCATGAACAGAGGAAGAACTGTTTAAAGCTACAATGTGGTTGCTGTTGCCCGTTTTTGATCTAAAATTATTTAGCTTGTGTTACCTCTATTTTATCAGTTTTATACAAATTTATTTATGCAATGCTTTTGACACAAAATAAATAGATTCCAGGTACTGAAGCCTATCTATGTCTAGACTGGACTAAAACCTGGCATGGAAGCCACAGAGAAAGAAATGGTTTCCAATAGACTAGACCAGGGATCCTCAGACTTTGTAAACAGAGGACTAGGTCTCAGTCCCTCAAACTGTTGGAGGGCCAGATTATAATTTGAAAAAAAAATGACTGGATTCCTATGCACACTGCACATATCTTATTTGTAGTGCAAAAAAACACAAAAAACAATACAATAATTAAAATGAAGAACAATTTTAACAAATATAAACTTATTAGCATTTCAATGGGAAGTGTGGACCTGCTTTTGGCTGATGTGATAAGATTGTTGTTGTTGTTGTGTGCTTTCAAGTCATTTCAGACTTAGGTTGACCCTGAGCGAGGGCTGGATAAATGACCTTGGAGGGCCGTATCTTGCCCCTGGGCCTTAATTTGAGGACCCCTGCACTAGTCTATTAACTGGAACCCAAGCAATGGGAGCTCTCAAGCACCCAGCAAACAAATGTAACCAAAATGGCATACTGCAATCAAAAAACTTATCTCAATTATCAAGTCAACACAGGGTTTATGGTACTTTGTCACAAGTACATCTGGTGGGATGAGAGACAGGGCCTTCTCAGCGGTGGCCCCTTGGCTATGGAATGCCCTCCCTAGGGAGATTAGATCTTCTCCCTCCCCCAAATTGGGAAACAAGTCATCCAGGAATACCTGGCCGCTCTAAATGAGTTCAAGTCCCCAGGGCCAGATTTACTCCTGACCTATAAAGATCCTCACTAGTCCAGGATCCTTCTTACCAAGATTTCTCAAAACTTCAGAACATACCTTTAGACTTTTTGAGGGAATATCTGAAATATTCACTGTACCCTAAAGGGTAGGCAGCAAAATTGCTGGAGTATCTATCACTCCCAGCCCATCTCTCCTATCCCCCCCCCCCTGGTTTCCAAACTCTAAGCAATTTTATGAGCAAAAACATTTGCTGCTGCTGTTTACATGTTTCAGTTTTAATCCTCATAGACAC